ATAGAGTGAAAAGCTATTGTGGCAAAACAACAGGGGTTGCTGAGCCTGATTAGCTGAGTGCAATGCATGAATATTTAATAGCCATTGCTCTTTCAAAACAGCATCATTTCTCTACTGGTTAAATACACAGATATTAAAAATAAATCAAGATGGACACAAAATGGTAGCAAGGTAGAAACTTCTCAATAAGTATTTTAATAGCAATATCAAAGGAGCATGAAGTCAAGGAAAGTATTCATTAACAGCCTTTGTGACCACATTTTCACCTGTAATGAAAGAAATACCTTTTCATTTAGAAACTCAAGGACCTGATAAGTTCCCTCAAAAAAGGACTTACTCAAACAAAATCACAGAGGAAATTAAACCAAAAGTAAAGCAAAACAGTGAGATGATGCCCAACAGCTGGAAAAAATTCTTATTGTTCCTCTGATCAATGCTGTATAAGTAAATCAAGGCTCTCTTTGCTCACTGCAAATAACCTCTTACTCTTTCCAAATATGCTTTACAGAAAGCCAACATTAAGGACTACACTTCTCATGTGAAAGCCTCCTTTTAAAAGACAGATACAAACCCCTAAAGGTTTAAGCCTAACTTACAGAAAGGCAAAACAACTTTTCATCTCATTAAGCTACCAGTAAAGCTTTATGGAACCTCACTAAAAGTCCTTCCACAAAATCTGGTGGCAAACCTACAGGTGATGATTACAAGCAGGATCAAACTCTTTGTAGACCAGCATCATGCCATATACATATTGGTATTCACTTACCAATATTTTTCCCCAGCTGAATGCTCACAGTTTACGTCACCTGATGAGGTCCCATTCCCATTCAGGAACTCAGGCATCACCAAAGCACACGCAAAAAGTAAGGATGCAGACAACAAATAGATAGACAAAGATAGCTGTTAAATTTGCAGAATTTGATTTGGTTGGGAAAAAGTGCAAACTAAGAACTACTCAAAGTCTGCATTTGACAGCAGTCTCTAATTGTAAATTAGGATGCCCAAGGATGTGCACAAGGCTACAAAAGCCTTCTGAGATTACTCAAGAAAGAGTAACAAGAAATACAAAGAATTCTGGTGTAAAGCAACACTAGTTTATAAAAACCTTCTCAGGGTCTGTCATTTCTGCAGGGAAACAACATTATGAAGATTTGATATAAAGGGTCTTGAGTTAGTGATGCAAGGAAAAAGAATTAAGCCATTTGTATTTCTTTTTGTCTTTTTGTTTATGACAATAATTAAAGGAGAAATCAATAGCAAACTCATCTCAGAAATATGTACAATACGTTATTCTGTTAGCAAAAAGAAGAATACATTTCTATTTTGGTGTTGAACAGTGAAGCCTCTGTCACCAGTCAGCTCATGTAGGCGACTCTTATGCCTGTAACCTTGCCAAAAAGGAAGTGAAAGGCTTGTTGGTTTGCACTGTGTACCACGGAAAAAACAGGATGTACACCAGAGGTTTAGGAGTAAAATATTTGAAAACTTTTGGCATTAGCTGCAGTGACTTAGAATCTGAGTCCAGAGCAATAAAATTCTCTCCTGCCGTTTTGTACCTGTACACATATATGCATTCAGGTAAACTATTAATGATGCTTTATATCCTAGGGAGATTGTTGCTGTTTTAAGCAAATGCTCTTTCAGTGAAGCTGTATAAATGAATTCCTTTTGCCAGAAATATCAGCTAGAGAATCCTCTTATTTCTTAAGTAGTAAACAGTCACATAGCCATGCTAATTTGCTCACACTTACATGTTATTAGTATTCAGCACATTAATTTTACCCCTCCCAGTGAGTAAGGAAACCACAGAGAAGCAAATGCTGCCAGACCCCTATCAAACCAAAAACAGCTCCTGGAAATAACCCCCAGACAAGACCTGCCACACTAACAACTTACAGAACACAAAAATGACACTTTCTAACACAAGAGTTAACAGAAAATCCTACAGACTCATAAAAGCAAGAACTGTTATAAAATGGCTTGAATTGGCCATCTCCAGCCAAAGGGGACACCAAGCACACCCCTACAATGCAAGGTAGTCTTTGGTTACTCTACACACATGCACAGGCATTGTATGAGATCCAATACCATAGAATCCTAGACTGCTTTGGGTTGGAAGGGACCTTAAAGCTCATTCAGTTCCAAACCCCCACCATGGGCAGGGACACCTTCCACTAGACCAGGTTGCTCCAAGCTCTGTCCAACCTGGCCTTGAACACTGCCAGGGATGGGGCAGCCACAATTTCTCTGGGCAACCTGTGCCACTGTCTCACCACCCTCATAGTGAAGGACTTTCTAGTATCTAATCTAAATCTCTTTCAGTTTAAAGCCACTTCCCCTTGTACATGCCCTTGGAAAGAGTATACGTCTGAGTATACTGCAATACAAACCTAAGGAAGCATTTATGCAAATGTTTAACCCTAACCCAGTAACACTGCAGACTAAAGACACCATCTGCTCTCTGCTGACAGCACCTCTGCACTGCTAGTGGCAAAGGCTCAAAGACAACGTTCTCAAAAGCCTCTTACACATGTTAACTTCTGAAAAGGAGTTTCAGCCTAGTGTTCATGCTCAGAGTTAATGAAGGAAAATGCTACAGTCAGAAAACCGCCACCATGCAAAGTAGAATGAACCCTCAACAGTATATGTACTGAAATAGAAACAGTAGGTAAACTAGCAACTCCTGGAATTACTCGTTTTAGCTATGACAGAATAGGAGCCAATCGGTCTGGTTTCCATTCTGTCTCATAATTTAATGTAAAGGATTTTCCCACTTTGCTCATTTGGAATGGTTTAAATAACAAACTGCAAATGTAACGCAGTGAGCAAGGTGGAATTTCTACTGCAGAGGGGTGCACTTCTCCAAGATGAGCCTGCAGAATTTACACACACACACACACTCTTTACAGTATAAACCACAGCAAGCTCTTCACTAGGTACCCACCTGCAGACACTGGCCATGTTTTTCACCTGCAAAGTGCTGGAGACTTGCGAGAAAGAATTAGGAGAACCTGTTGAATGCCAGGCTTGCCACACAGAAAATACAGGAAGCAAGATACTAACAGGGTGAGAAGCACCCATCATTTTAGAAGCAGCAATCAAGAAGAGTTACTAGCAAGCTCCTAAAGCCCAGCCTCCACCTGAGAGAACTGCTTGCAGGGTTAAAAATGCTTTTTGTAGAGAAGGTGATATACTTCTAAGTAAACCAGCTAATGGAACTGAAAACAACAGAATCATCCAGTGCAAATAGACTGCAGGGCTCCAATTAGAATACATTCTCATAATTTGAGCAGTATTCAGTCTAATCAGAATTTATCCAATTGTGAGGTTAAAAAAGTTATTACCATGATGTTAATAATTTTGTGGAGACACCCAGAAGAGATAAGATACTAGACATACATACTGTCTGAAGTGTATTTAAAAATACAGTAGAGGGCACACTTCCCAAATGTTTTCATCCCCCTGATTTATCCACACAGCATCAAGTCATTTATTTGTAAGTCATTTATATCATCAAATGGTTTGGGTTTGAAGGGACCTTAAAGATCATCTAGTATTCCTGCAACATACAGGTATCATATGGATATATTTTACTGCAATATGGTTCACGCTACACAGTACCTATAAAGATACTACAGGTTATGCAATGCAGTTACTTCAGTGAAGCCACTAAAATTAGCTTATCTCCTGCATATTGACTTTACTGTTGCTGACAGACTGCCCTACAGGGTCCAAAGAGAGCACAGGAGTTATTCTCTCCAGGAAATCCCCACACAGAAATAGGCATGTTGATTTGGAGCTACTGTTGCTACTAGGTGAGACCAACTATGTGAAATTACTTAGGTTTGCGTGTGATGTGGACTCTAATGCTGAAAGATCCAGGAGCAGGGCACTAAATCAGAGGTTTCTTGGTCTGGACACTGTTGTGCAAAAGACTTACCAACCTGCCACACTGGAATAGGCCTGGCCACGCTTATACAGCGCTGACCTAGAGTGCATAAACGCTGCTAGATTCAGGCTGGGAAGCTGCCTTCTCCAAGAGTGCCACATACGAGCACCCTGCAGTTAATTGCGGCCTTACACATACTTGGTTTTCTCTAGCATTCCTCAGGCCTTGCCAGCATACCTACACTTGAAGGAGTTACACACTGAGGAACACCTGCCTTTCCTCAGTTTCTTCTGAGCACAACAGCATCCAAACAGCGGCTGCACAACACCGTTCTGGACAGGGGCGCTAGCCTAGGGGGCACAAAAATAAGCTGTCAGAAAAACGCTGATATTTAGTTGTGTGCTCACACCTTGCTTCCGTTATTTTATCTGCAATTCGGTGGTGTTTAACTGGCAACTCCTGCCTACGATTAAGAAGGCCACTAAGGAGGCTAAGGCGCGACTAACCCTCCCAGGCGCCAGGGGGCTCCCCCGCTCCACGCCCCCTCAGCAAGGGGCGGGAAGGAGGCGGTGTCAGGCCCTCCCATTACGTGAGGGGGTGGGAATATCTTCCAGCCTCTGCGGCGCCCCGCCCCACTGGCGAGTACCGCCCGTGAGGATACCTGCGGACCGCCACGGGCCTCCTCTGCCAGGAGGAAAAGGGGGAGTCTGGGAGGGAGTAGCCGGGACACCCGCCCCAGAAACGGCGCTGAGGGGCGGCCCCCAGGGCTCCTCCCTTGTGTCAGTGAGGCGCCGAGGCCCTGCCCCTCCTCCCTGCCGCGCAGCTCCCATTGGCTGTCGCGGGAGCGGCGGTGCGCGCGCAGGGCCGGCTGCCAAGGTGCGGGCGGCGCAGGCGCGGCGGTAGGCGCACAGCTGCGGCCGGGCCGGGGCCGGGGCCAGGGCCAGGGCGCAGCCGGCTGGGAGGCAGCGGCAGGTGAGAAGCGGGGCGGGCCCGGGTGCCCGCGGGGAGGATGCTCCGAGCCGCGGGGTGCTTTGGGGCCAGTGCTGCCGCTCCCCCGTCCAGCGGGCCCGAGCGCTGCCGGAGCCGTTCGGCCCCGCGAGCCAGCGAAGGGCAGGGCTGCGGATGAAGCGCAAGGGGCCCGCGTTCTGCAGGCCCGGTCTCCGCGACACGGCTGCCTGTGACAATGGGGATGGAGGGGTGGTGGTGGTGGTGGTGGTGAAGGGGCTGTCCTGCTCCTGTGCTTCTTTAACGGCCAATTCCGGAAAGATCGGTGCCAGGAAAATGGCAATCACATCATTAAAACACAGGGTTAATGATGCACTAGAGTGAACAGTTATTCTTGTGAACTGAAACACAACTATTTCAAGAATTATATACCACATACAGCTCAAGGAAAAATAATCAGAGTGTTAAAAGATGTTGTTCTGGTTTAGGGTTAAGTGGTAGCTTTTTAAACACCAGTTAGAAAAATGCATGGAAAAATACAAATGTAAAGGCAGGTCCATTAACAGTTGCATCAGTGTTTTGTTTTTTTTTTTTTTTTCCTTTAAGCAGAGCATCATTCAAGAATACCCCCTTCAAAGGCGGAAAGAGGTCACGCTACAATGATGAATGCCGACATGGATGGTATCTTACTGCTTTTCCATATTATTTTTTCTATTTAATATTTCATTTCCAGCTGTTACAGAGGTTGCACTAAAACCCATATGATTTATTGCAGCTGTTGAGGCTGAGAACCAGGTGGAATTAGAAGAAAAAACACGCCTTATTAATCAAGTGTTGGAACTGCAGCACACACTTGAAGGTTAGCAGTTTGACGTATGAGATTTTTCACAAACACACACTAATAAGCAAGAGAACCTTGGTTTTCTTGCTCTGCCTTCGCCAGAGTGCCCAGAAGTACGTTGCTTGCCCAGGTGAAGGTACATGAGTAAGGTCTCAGAAATACTTTTTTTTCCTCTCGTTATGCAATATAATGTTTGCTCAACTCCTGTAATCCAGAAGCAGAAGGGGTGATAGAGTTAAATGTGCCCAAGCTCCTTAGTTGACAGGCATCGCTGAGTCTGCTCGTACCTGTACAGTTGTGTCCAGGTAGTCTAGTTTGCAACAGCTTAATTCAGAAATTGAAGAGAATAGTAAAAGTATGAGCAGTTAGTTTGTCACCATACTGGACTACAAAATGATACAGAAGAAATAGGCTTCAGCCAAAATTTGCAAGTAGCACAAGAGAATACCTTATGGCAATGTTTCCTACAGTTAAAACTATTCAGTTTATGCAGGCACAGAGGATGTACTCATTGTATACAACAGTGTCTAATATGTTTCTTATAATATCACCTTTGCAGATCTCTCAGCACGAGTAGATGCTGTTAAGGAGGAAAACTTGAAACTGAAATCAGAAAACCAAGTTCTTGGACAGTATATAGAAAATCTGATGTCAGCCTCTAGTGTTTTCCAAACAACTGACACAAAAAGCAAAAGGAAGTAAGGGTTGACTCACAGATGATGTCATTGTATTGCTGCTGTCTTTTTTTGTTTGTTT